TAGCCATACACACAGATCATAAATTCATATACACAGTAGCCAATACATATAAACAAAAATACTGCAGCATGTTAACAACCCACCCCTAGAAGAACTTCTAATCAAAGCCATATGTCCACAGTTCAACCTTGATTTTGATGGAATGGCAGGTTGAGTACCTTAGTTAGCAGTCAAAACTGAAACTCTTTTTGCAATCTTATTGGAGTATACAACTGGAACTGGAAATGGATGGAGAGATTTGTTTGGTAAACCGACTTAAGAAGGCAAAAAGTGATGTTTTAGAATCCAGTGGATTTCTTAATGTTATGGACTTATTTTCTAGTAGTTGTAAACAGCTCAGACACAAAAGCCGAACACACAAAGTGACAATAACATACACCATTTTCTTTTTATTAGATTCAACAATTGAAGTTTGAAACTCAAGGTCTTTCAAATCCACAAAAAAAATACAGAGAAATTAGCAGAAACATCAAATTAATAATTAACATTTTCAAGCAAAAGCTTACCTTCCGAACAAGAATCTCGATTTCGATTTCTTGTAGTGAAAAGCAATTGAACATGAAATTGGTTACTAAAATCACAATTTCAAATCAATAATTTACAACCAAGAAGTGAGATTTGAGAGTTCAGATGTTGGAGATTGGAGAAAAATTAGGCCAATCCGTCAATATCGAATCGAACTCGAAAGATATAAAGAACCACAAATTATATATTACCATTGCAAGAAAATCCATGGGATTCTCCATCGTGATTGAAGACCGTTGCTGGAAATTCAAAGGTCGGCATCAGCTTGAGCAGATTTCTCGGATATGTGCAATGCGAAGTAGAAGGAAAGAAGACGAAGAGATTTTCTTGGTTTTTCAAATTGTCACGTCTTGATCTGATTAGTTAGAACTTCAATTAAGTTTGGGATCGGGCTTAAGGTTTAAACATTTTATAACATATAGTACATAACTATTTTTTGGGCCTCTATTTTCCATGGGTCCTGGGCACAAGCCCAGCCCGCCCTCACTCAGGAATGGGTCTGTCCACCATTCATAGATTTCATTATTTCATCGTATATGTGATGGAATTAAAATTCATTTCTATTCATTTTCTCAAAAGGACAAAAGCTACACCAGAAAAACCTTAGCCTGCTATATACACATTTACTCGTTGCCTTTGGCCTGTCAATCTTTCAGCACTGCCTCTACCATCGTCACCTTCACAGCCACCGCAACCACCACCCCACCATCATTAATATTTATCAGCATATTACATTTATAATTTATGCAAAAAAGTATGAAAATGTAATAAAAAGTCTTTTTGGGGTCATTTACTATTTTTTGGATTTTAATTTAGAAGTTACATTCTACCAACCAAAAATGCGGATTCCAGTTCTTAGGAGATCCTATTTTAATTCCAATCCCAATCAGCCGAATATGTGGTCAAACTTCATTGAATTCCATCCCAGTTTCTTCAAATTCTACTTCCTTTGGAGGACTTCAATTCTACCAAATTCCATTCTGCAAAACGGAACACCTTCTAGACTTCTTGCAAGAGTGAATGTAGTTCGATCACTATCCTTAAAATTCTCAAGTTTCATCTAATAAATGGGCTTCGGTAGAGTCCCGTAAAGCAGTTCGAAGGAGGAGAGTGTCCAAACCATATATACGTTCATATTTATCTTGACCACCTGACGATATGTGATAAATACTACTTCAACAAGCAGGTAAGATTGCAAAGCTAGAAAACGATTGTACTTATATTAGGTAATAAAAGGACATATTTTTCGTTATAATTCCAACGCATATTTGGGTTTTTCTCGTACGTATATTCTTTTCTATTTTAAGAAAAGTTGACGTAATTTTTCTTGCTTTTATTAGAAGTTTTATAAGGTTTGATCGATAGAAACAAACCGAGCAAAGAAAACCTTAAATAAATAAATTATTAGCCAAAAATATGAATTTGGGTAATGCAACAACTAATTTTTTTTGAAATATTATGATTATTTAATATTAGAAATTATTAAATTGTAATTATTACATAAATAATTAACTAAAAAAAGAAGAATAAGAAAAGCTAAAGGGGAAAAAGAGGGGGTTATGTGGAGAGTGACGTAAAGAAGTGGGCCATTGTTGTACAAAAACCGAAAATTATAATTGAATTTTTATGTATTTATAAAAACTTATCATTTATTTATTTTTATACTCTAAAATTTGTCATCCGTAAAACTTTTATCTTAAAATTTTGTTTCATATTATTTTTTCATCTAAATATATTATATATTGATAACTCTCAATTTTAAGAGTTATTTGTTGTTTAATACTATTTTTATGTATTTTATGTATCTATTTTGTTTATATCTTATATTTTTGGTTTAAAATGTTTTAAGAAGTGATTAAAGATCAAGGATTTGATTTTATTTTGAAAAACCGTCATTGCTGGACAGTGCCCACTGTCTGCCCACTTTCTGGCTTTCTGCCCACTACGATATTTTCTTTAAAAGGGATTTGGATAAGTTTAAATACATGTTTTTCTGGGCATTTAAGATAATTAATTATACACTCAATTCTGGAAATTTCACAAAATGTAAACTTGTTGCATAAAAAATGTTTTAAAGTGTCTTTTTCCCTTATTAAGGGAAATATCATCTTTACATTTTTCATCCTTTCAGAAAATGTGACAAGGCCTGAAGATTTTGCAAGATGTGTAATGAAGTCTTTGCCTTCAAGATTGAAGAAGACTTTCTTTCTTTGGGTAAAAGAGATGTTCATCTCTCCCTTTCTCCAATAAATTGAAGTTTTTACTCTCATTTGGAAGACACATCTCTTGGAGCAATTACTCTCACTTGAAGATCTGGAAGCAGTAGATCGAGTTTAACTTTCTGTATTTACTTCTTGTATTGTCTTTAATTTTAAGTTACGTTTATGTTCACTGTATGCCCAATGAGGGCAACAGTTTTTGTAAAATTTCAATTCAAGTATTTCTTATGCACTTTTCTTCTTCTTCTATATGTTCTGTAATTTCATTATGAGCTAATCACCCCTTTGGGTGTGGATGTGAGTCAAACTTAAGAACTTGTAGGCACACTTGGGTGTTGCCATTGTTATTAACTCATAAGCTTGCTCACTTTAAGTCGGGACTTAAGTTCAACGCAGATAAACCAATCACTTTGAAGTGTTAATATTAGATCATTGATCCAAAGATGGACGGATTCGAAATGCGGCTTAAGTGATGCACACAGATTTGAGAGAGTCTTTGATAATCACGTAGAGATACGGATTTTACATGTTTTTAGCTAAGGTTCAAATATTAGTCGAGATTAATACTACAAAGAGATTTGAGTGTAAATCTTCAAGCTAGTGGAACTATATATCTTTTTTATCACTTAGCTAATTCGGCAAGCTTAAAACTGATGATAGCGGGTGCTTTGTTGTGGACACAATATATAAAAATTCACTTCCAAGATATTGGAGTTTTTATAGAAGTCTCATGAGCTTCTGACCATACTGTTACTACAATCTTCTTAAGGAAAACTTACATTCATACTACAATCTCAGTAATCCACTCTATGTGGAAACGATCTTGGTACTATACCGCTTTATTACTTCAAGCGATCATAGTGTCGACGTGCACTTGCACCGCCACTATGGAGACTTTGTGCTCACTGTGTGAACACTTACGATTACAAGCCATCATATACTATGTATTCTTTTCACAATATAATAAAAAAATTGTTATATTAAACCAAAATAAATTATTTTGTTATTAAATCTAAATTAAATTATAATAAATTTTTTGAATTAAAGAAGTTACACCAAAAAAATGAGAACAAAGAATAAAAATTAAACAATAAAATCGAGATTTATTTCACTGCATTACGCGAATACCCTTTTAGTATTTTTTTTTAAAATCATTTATTATTTATAAAGTTATAACATATTCTTTTTTTATTCATAAGAATATAATTACATCCGGCACATTTTTATTCATAAAATTATATATATATATATATATATATATAATTGTTTACATTTCTATTTTAAGTTTGTCTCATAATAAGTGTCTACTTTTAAAAGTAAGCTTTTGTTTTCTCCTCGTACCTTTTATCGTAAGATGAAGAAAAAAATTCTCTCTTATTATTAAGGATAAAATTGTCTTTTGGTTAATTAAATGGTGTAATAATTACATATTCTTAAAACTATATATCATTTTTATTGCGTATATTTATTTAACACGGAGACAATATTTTTTTTTCTTTTACATATTTTATGTTTGTGCAGATGAACATGATATCGTTTTCATAATACCAAATTGGTCAATTGAATGGTGGTATATGATGATTTGAAGCATTATCAGAAGGATTGTTTGAAGCGTTCATACAATAACGATCGGCATTTACTCTTTTCCCCTGATTTATTATTATTAAAGGGGTTTATTTTATTATTTTATATCAGGTTTTCGTAACAGTATAAAGCTATCGACAGCTTTTTGTCCTGATGAATTATATCTGAATAAAATAATCTTGGATTCAAAATTTAATATTGAATACTTTGTTTAGGATTTTATGGGCAAAACATGAATATAAATCAACAACTTTTTGGTATTTTTTTTGCAAAAGAAAGCAATTTATTCATCATGATGACCAAATCTCATTTCCTTTTTCTGCTTATTTTTCTTCATTTTTTTCATCTTTTATGCCTTTTTTCATTTATTTTTATAAAATAAAAGAAATTGACAAAATGTACCTCGGAATATTACAAATTACAATTCTAGTCCTTAATTTGATTTCACACGTGTATTTATTTTACTAGTCCCGTTTATATTTTTATCTATTATAAAATACAGAACGTTCATTGTCATATTTTATTTTTACTTGATTATATCTGATAAGACCAACACAATGAAAAAAGATGGAAAAACGGGTTTTTTATATTTATGTTAATGGGGGATTGAAAGATAAGACCCAAATGTTATAAGATTTTCTTGTTACTAGAATTGTAAATTATGAAATAGTCAAAGGATCATTTATGTAATTTAACTCAACTAAGTTTTCCTTATAAATAGCTTACTTCTTGGCGTGTGTTAGCCACACTCACCACTTTGCTTTACTCATTTATAATGGCTACAATCGCTGTAAATGACATGGTGCATCACCAAACCAGCCTTGAGCTCGAACAAAAGGATGTGTTCGACTACTCGAAACGGTCTCAATGGCTACGAGCCGCAGTCCTTGGAGCCAACGATGGGTTAGTCTCCACGGCTTCTCTGATGATGGGTGTTGGAGCCGTTAAACAGGACATCAGAGCCATGATATTGACTGGCTTCGCTGGCTTAGTAGCCGGAGCCTGTAGCATGGCTATCGGAGAATTTGTATCTGTTTACTCACAACTTGATATAGAAGTTGCCCAAATAAAAAGGGATTTCAATCGGAGAGATGATGTCGAAGCTGAGGTTGACGATTTGCCAAACCCGTGGCAAGCTGCTGCTGCATCGGCCTTGGCTTTTTCTTTGGGAGCTATGGTACCTCTGTTAGCTGCTTCGTTTATAAAGCCTTATAAAATCAGGATTTTGGTGGTGGCAGCAGCAGTGACAGTGGCATTGGCGGTTTTTGGGTGGTTAGGGGCGGCGTTGGGGCGAGCACCGATACTCAAATCTTCAACAAGGGTGGTTGTTGGAGGGTGGATGGCTATGGTCATTACATATGGTTTAACAAGGTTAATTGGTACAAAGGGAGTACTCCATTGAAGTATATGGAGCATTTCATCTTATATCATGGTTTTAATATATTTTTTTCTTATTTTATAAATACTTATAAAAAATATTGCACTTTTAATTTTAAATCTAAGTTTTATTTCTTTATTAGGTGGGACCCCTATGTATATATATATATATATATATATATATATATACATACATAAATAATGTTATCTGTAAACATGTGTGTTACGTTTCAACAAAATTTTGGTATTTACCACCGATAGCAGTTTATGTAATTAGTAACTACTGAATCTTTTTCATCAAATGGTTATAGATTATGTATGTCTTTTCTTGTATTTCTTTGTAACTGTTTCCAATAAAAGAATAATAAAAAAATCAGATTGTATTTGTAATTTTTTTCTCGAGAATTATTAACCTGAAAAAGAAAAAGAATATAATCGTATAAAGATCTACTTTTTCTTTAATTTCTTATCTGTTTTAATTCTTAAATATGTTTTCTCAGAATCGTAGATGACAAATCACTGGTCCTAAAAGGGTCAAATCAGCAACTGGGCTGATGTCCAACACTTAGTATTAGAAAGATTCAGGTCCAATCATACGAAGGATGTTTCTATTTGTGTTGGATTATGTCCATCCTTCTGAAAGAAAAAAAAAATTATATGGTTCATATGACGGTTATGAACCAAGTGTCTTCTCGAAAACAATTGCATACATCTTATCCCTTGTGAACTCTATTTCTGGATATGTATGTTAAGTTTGTTTAGTCCGGTTTGGTCTATATCATTACTCAGGAACCCATAAATTAATAAAGTTAAAGATGTCAGATATCATAATTACAGTAAAAAAGAAGCCGAAAAGCTCATGATAAGGTACAATTTCTTATGCATTAAGGTACAAGTTCATATAACACTATGATTTTGCATTTGATGAATTATTATGTAATAAAGATTTACTTTATAAAAAGAAAAAGGGCTTTAAAAGAGAAGATGTGAAAAGGAAGAGAAGTGGGAAAACTTAAAAAAAAAAAAGCAAGTGTGAAAGAAGCATCCTCAAAGATTTGGAGAAGTGCAAATAGCACCCTTGAGGTTTTTGAATGTACATGAAACACCCTTTATATTTGGAGGTTGTCATAGAGAGGGTTCGGTTCTAGTAAGATCTCACCCTTTCCGTGAGAACTCACTCACGACCGTCAGTTACTTTCAGCCAGACTTGATCGAACGATGAGGAGTGCACCTCGTTTTGATGAAGGAGTGGACATTTCAGCCTTTTGGTTTTCTATATTTGAGCACCTTAAGAAATATTAACACAAAGTTAAGGTCTTTGAGGTATGTTAAGAAAGGTTAGGATTGGCTAAGATATGTTAGTGTTCATTGTTTTTCATGTTAAATTATGTTGGGGTTCATTAGGTATGTAAGGTACGTTTGTGTTTGTTCAGATTTGTTATGTTACGGTTCAGTATTTTCATGTTAAAGAGTGTTAAAGTTTTTGTATGCATATATCTATGCCATTGAAGTTACGGTTATTCACATTTTTTGCCACCACTTTTTTGTTAGGCGTCTGATTTAAAAATCATCTAATAGCTATGAGGGGTCTCAAGATTCTCAAAAAAAAAATATAACTATCACGTGATCCCAAATCATCCCAGAGAATCGAACATGTAGTACGTAGCAAACAATCGAAGATGTAGCTATATAGATCAGCAAACATGCTTGGTTTAAGAGACCAAACTGATACAAAAACATACACCAGTTACAGAAGGACCATTTAAGGGCATACCAGTAGGGTCCAAACCAGTTAGATCATCTTGCGACGACGATCAATATATTTGAGGAGATAAACCAAGATCTAGTTCTAGTACCAAAATCAATATCAATACTTTTTCTATGAGCTGTTTCAGAAGAGTTTGCAGTAAAATGGAACACTGATATAAAAGTACTATATAAATTCGTTGTTTTTTGTGATTTCGAGAAGAACTAACATATTCTTTTAAATGAGTGGTAGATTGATTTTTCATCTTAATCTACATATCAAATAACTAATTGGAAATGTGAAAGCAATTAAAACCTCACGCTAAATAACTTCAAACCCAGGGTAGAGAGTCGTTTAGATTTAACTAGAGTAATGGGGTTTTTTTTGGGTAACCGGCGGTTTCCAGACCAACTTACGTGAACCAACTAATGCCCCGACCCACAACAAATTGGTTGGACTCATCTAAGGTGAACCTCCATGGCCACAAGGATTTTAGCAGCGCCTAGATTTGGATATGAGTAAATGAGATTTTCCACTACATCCCCCTAAGGCTTAATCAGTACGCTACAACCCAAACGGTTAGTAAACGGAGTTGGATGATGGATCACGGATTAAGAAATGGAGTGGATCAGATAAAAAAATTGCATATAAAAATGGAAGTGGAATGAGATGAAAGTGAAACTACAGGGGCTAGTAATTCCGTTTTGCTTTTAACACTAATCAATCACATGATTTTTACTAAGCATACAAAAAAGCATAACGACCTTGGTCTCTAAAGACCCCTATAAACCTCCGCCATCGAGTGCCACATGACGGTCTTGGATTAGTAAAGATTATTATTGCTTTTTTAAACCCTTTTTGTCCTTTTTTATTTAAAATTTGAATTACAATATTTACCATTTTGCCATTACATTATTTATCTTTAAACTATGTATAAATTGGATGGTTGTTTTATTTTCTTTTTCTACCCCTACTCATTCTTTCTCAATCCCTTCAACTCTTACTTCATAAATTGTGATTTCAATATACTTTCGTAGTTATATTTAGGGTCGTTTACTAAACGTTTACTTGGTAAATGCTTACCAAATAAATTTCGTTATCGGATGAACATGACAAGTGCCAAGAATCTTACCGGGTAAGAGCGTTAAGAAGGATGGAGAGTCTTACCCGATAAGTGAAGATTACGACTCTTACCCAGGTAAGCACTTACCTGGTAAATTGTTGCATTTAATAAGTTTTGATGTGTTAAAACCTTACTTATCAAAATTGTAATTATAATGTTGACTCCTATAAGTAAGCACATACGGAGGTAAAGAACCCCTTAGAATTATAAATTTCATTTGTTTCGCATTATCTTGTTTTTAAACTTTTATTTCAAACTAAACTTCTAATTTTAAAACCGCCTTACACGGTTACAGGTTTTAAGCGGTTGGTTCTCAAGTTATTGACTAGAAGAATACAAGAGTGGTTCTAATTGGATAGATATAGACGTATGGTTGCAATCATGAAATTAAAATTAATCAAAGAGTTGTCTCCAATTTTTACGTATGTCAGAGTAGAAGTAGTGATAAATGATATTAGATGTATCTGGATAAGACCAACAATTCTACATCGTATAAATGTGTTTAACCAAAATCGTTTGAAGTTTGCTTTTACCCCAACAATTTCTTGGATCATGTTATAATTAAAATAGACGATCACTCGAGGTTCAACCGTCGTACGTCGATGTCGATATTAGCAACTCCACCACTGAATGACAATGACACCAGGAGATAACAGATATTTAAAAAACATAATTAAAAATGCCAATTTTACGTTTAATATATATATATATATATATATATATATATATATATATATATATATATAGACTTGGGAT